CTTCCTTCCTTCCTTCCTTCCTTCCTTCCTTCCCTCCTTCCTTCCTTCTTTCTTGTCCTAGGGGCTTAAACTCAAGGGCTAGCACTCTATCACTTGAGCCACAGTGCCACTTACAGCCTTTTTTATTTATGTAGTACTGAGGAACCAAACCTAGGGCTTGATGCATGCTAGGCAACCACTGTACCATTAAGCCACATTCCCAGTCCCTGGAGTGATGGTTTCTCCAGGGCCTGGTTAAATTTACCCAGAGGAAGAAAATTAAGTTGGAAGAGGAAGATAATCTGGAGGAGATGAAGATGTTCATCTTGGAGAAGAAAACTCTCAGGAAGTTTATTTATAAACAAAATAGTTAACGGAAAGGCTCTGCTAGGGGTAAGGAATATTTATTTTGTATAACTTTAGAAAGCAGTGCCCACTAGAAGGCAGATGCTAATTTGTTGAAAGGATATTTTAACAATTAAGAGTTATACTCTTATGCAGCCAGGCTCCTGTGGCTCATATCTGTAATCCTAGCTACTGAGATCCAGATCCTAGCTGAGATCCAGATGACTGAAGTTCAAAACCAGCCACGGAAGAAAGTTCAAATTTCAATAAGGGGTAAAAGTATTATACACAAGGTTGTGGATATAGCTCAGTGGTAGAGTAGTAAAGTGATTGCCTTGCAGGTATGAGATTCTGGGTTCAATCCTTGCACTGGGGGGAAAAAAAGAATTATACACAGCTGAGAGTGGTAGTGTCTGTAATCCTAGCACTTGCACTTGGGAAGCTGAGACTTCAGGCCAGCCTGGACCATACAGTCAAACCATATCTCAAAACAAGCCCAATCAAACAAAAATAAAAATAGTAAGTAAAATAAAATAAACTAAAAAGAGTTGTACTTGAAGGAAAAAGATCTGCTGTGAGAAATTTTAGGAGTTTAAGCAGAATATGTATAACCTATCATAGAACTTTGAGAAGTTGAAATCAATGACCTCTAAGATGACTCCTCCTACTTACAATCTGTGACCAGTCTTAGTTTTTCTCTTTCTCTCTTTTTTTCTTGTATTTATCTTTCAGTCCTGGAGTTTTGAAATATTGGGCCTTGCATATGCTATGCTAGTGCTTTAACTGCTTAAGTGGTGCCCACAATTTTACTATTCTTAGGGTTTAAGACCCTCTCAAGTTATTATATCTTGAATTTGTTTTTTTTTTTTTTTTTTTTTACAATTATAGTTTACAATGATCCCTTTTCTAAGCTTGTTCTTCTCTCCTTTACTTTTTTTCTAAAATTTATTTATTTGTTACTTTTTTATTGTTATTATACAAAAGCTGTCAGGTCTAAAATTCATTTTAAAAATTATCTTTAAGTAGTTGTACAAAGGGGTTTCAGTTCAACATACCAATTTATGAGTGTACTATATCTTGATCACTATCACCCTTTCCATTACTCTCCCCATGTCTCCAAGCTCACCCATCCCCTCAAGTTACCTGGTTCCATTTTCAAATATGTACATTGAATATTATGCCTGCATTCATCCATCCTTCCTCTCTCCATTTGTCTGCCACTTCTCTCCCCTCCCCTTCCTTCTCTTCCCCTCCCCTCCCCTCTCCTCTCCTCTTCTCTCCCCTCCCCCTTCCCCTCCCCTTCCCTCCCCTCCTCTCCTCTCCTCTCTCCTCCTCTCCTATCCACCCCTCTCCTCCCCTCCCCTCTCCTCCCCTTGCCTCTCCTCTCCCCTCCCCTCTCCTCTCCCCTCCTCTCCTCTCCCCTCCCCTCTCCCCTCCTCTACTCTCCCCTCCCCTCTCCCCTCCTTTCCTCTCCCCTCCCCCCTCCCTCTCCTCCCCTCCCCTGCCCTCCTCCCCTCCCCTCCCCTCTCCTCTCCTCCCCTCCCCTCCTCCTCCTCTCCTCCCCTCTCCTCTCCTCTCTCTTCCCTCTCCTCTCCCCTCCTCTCCTCTCCCCTCCCCCCTCCCCTCTCCCCTCCTCTCCTCTCCTCTCTCCTCCCCTCCCCTCCTCCCCTCCCCTCCTCCCCTCCCCTCTCCTCCCCTCCTCTCCTCCCCTCCTCCTCTCCTCTCCTCTCCCCTCTTTACCTAACTTAGAGGATGTGTCTAGTTTCCTCTGAGAAGTAGGTTGTAAACTTTGACATCAGGTTTATATTTTATATTGTAGTTTATATTTATTTGTATTTCCCTATAGCACTCAATAAGTTATTGATACACATTGTTTTAAGTTAGGTGGAACCAGATGTGGGATTTTTGGCTCATGAGATGTAAACAAGGAATGAAAAGTGAAATATGACAAAGGTGAAAGAGGCTAAACATAAACAAAATCAGAAGGCGTGTCCTTTCAGCAGGGGATTGGTGGATCATGCCTGTAATTCTAGCGTCTCAGGAGGCAGAGAAGGATCCCAGTTTGAAGTTTGCCTAGACAAAAAAAAAAATCTGTCAGATTTTTTTTGTTTTGTTTTTTTTTTGGTAGGTCGTGGGGCCTGAACTCTGGGCCTGGGCGCTGTCCCTCACTCAGCTCTTCAGCGTGGGGCCTGAACTCTGGGCCTGGGCGCTGTCCCTCACTCAGCTCTTCAGCTGCTGAAGGCTAGCGCTCTACTACTTGAGAGTCAGCCCCACTCCCGGCTATTTCTGCTTATGTGGTGCTGAGGAATCGAACCGAGGGCCTCATGCATGCAAGGCAAGCACTCTACCACTGAGCCACCTTCCCAGCCCCTGTCAGATTTTTATCTGCAGTTAACCACCAAAATGCCTAACATGGAGGTATAGCTCAAGGGTAGAGCATATGCTCTTTTTGAGAGGTGGGTAAACGTTTTAAGTCCTAGTACCAGCACCTCCATGAAAAATCGTGAAATTTCTATTTACAATAAGTTTTTTCCACAGGCAACTTGGGTATACTTAGTATAATTACAATTAAATTAACTGTAAAACAGAAACTACAAATGGCAAAGATGCTGATCATAAATTTCAATTACAAATGATCTAATGACATAAATATTAGCAGTAAGCATGGATAGCAACATTATCTATAGAAAAAGAGGGCATAGTCTGCACCCAGCCATTAGTCACAGTGAGAAGAAAAGTAATTCTGACATTTACGGCTCTGCTAACAGATCAAATGTGTGCAGGACTTAGTCACACCTCTGCTAGGGATGTTTGTAGAGCATGTGTACAACAGTTTCTATTATCTGGGTGTGTTTTGTGTTGTTGAGGTAAGCCAATTCTGCCTTTTCTACTCTAGACTTGAGTGCTCCTTTCCCTGTGGTTTGATTGTTCCTCCTCTCTTACAGCTCTCTCAAAGTCCATAAAAGTTGCTAGTGGAGTGGACAGAGAACCCGATTTGGGGGTGGTGTCCAGGTATCTTTCCACCCTCTCATACTAATGTTTATTTTTCACTGGCTGGGCAATGGGACCAAGCAATTTCCATTCAAACGAACAACACAAAACACAACTTACCAAGTTGTTCATTTGAGAGAATGAAAAGCGTGAAAGAATAGCTAGGATATGGAAACAACCCAGATGTCCCTCCACAGATGAATGGATCCAAAAATTGTGGTATCTATACACAATGGAATATTATGCAGCCATTAGAAATAACAAAATAATGGCATTTGCAGGGAAATGGATGGAGCTAGATGGAATCATGTTGAGCGAGGTAAGCCAAGAGCAGAGACAAACGGTACATGGTCTCCCTGATAAGTAGATGCTAAATCCAAAATGTTAGGTGATACGACAAAACTAACAGGACTTAAGAAACAAAGAACTCCCACTCATTTGGTCGAACCACTACTAAATACCCCCATGCTGCTGATCACATGTATGGTGTATATGTTATAGACTGTGATAGACAATTTGCTCCAGGAAAGTCAGAATGAACTTGTGACTTTAAATGAGCACCATTATTCCACAATACTGTGAAATTTGGGAAATTATGTAATCACTTAATCACAATTAAAAAAAAAAACAAACCTTGGGGAAGGTAGGGAGGGAAGGGATGGTAGGGGGAAAACAATGGAGGGGGGGGCTGGGAAGGTGGCTCAGTGGTAGAGCGCTTGTCTTGCATGCTTGAGGCCCTGGGTTCGATTCCTCAGCACCACATAAGCAAAAAGAAAAAAAAAAAAAAAGAAACAATGGAGGGGGTAACAATGCTCAAGAAGTGTACTCATTACCTTACTCATGTAACTGTAACCCTCTGTATAGTATCTTTACAATAAAAAATTAAAAAAAAATGAATCACTTTCACCCTCAAAAAAAAAAAAAAAAGAAAGGCGTGAAAGAAAGCAGAGAACCAGGACAGGCTTTGATCATAGCTGCAAAGGTCAGAGCAGGGTCGGAGAAACAAGGAGCGGGTAATGTGGGGCGTTTTAGGTTTCTATACATTCTAGTGTGAGACTCTTCTTTGGAATTTCTTTGTCCTGTCCTGTAGGGGATTTATTGTCCGAACTGTCCAGTTTGGGACACAGTTTGCACTGTGAAGTGCAAACAGTCCTGTTTGGGGTTTCGCGGTAGGGTATTCCAGCCCTTCCAGCGCTTTCAGATAAGGGTTTCAGATAAGGCTCAGCTCTCGCTTTCAGATAAGGTCGGGGATGAGTTTTTCCTGAGAACAAGGAGGGCCCCGCGGGGGGAAGGTGGTCAGTGAGCCCTGGGAGCAACAAGATTCCCATCTCGAGGACCTTTCGTAACCTCCTCCTAAGAGATAATGAAGTTTGTAGGCTGCGGCTTGAGATTTGAACCCAGCTAGTTAGGACGTCCCTACTTTAGGACCGACACACGTCCAATCAGGAGCCCTTACCTGCCTAAGGTGAGGAATTCGTTTCCTTACGCGACAATCTTCTGGGCCAATCAGAGGCCTGAATCCAGGAAACGCGTTGATCCGACCCAGTGGGGAGTAATGGGAAGGGCTGTACCTGGCTGCGGTGATTCACTCAATTGAAGGGCGGTTCTCTTAACCAATCAGAATGTGCACAGTACAGAGAACTGACCAATCGGACGAAGAAGGAGGGTTTAGGAGGGGCTAGACCTGGAGGCTGGAGTTTTACCCGAGCGCTGCAGGTTGTTAAGCTGTGCTGTCTCCAGGGATCGGGCGGCTGTTTCTTCTGTCGGGATCTGATCGTGATGGGGACTCAGGCGAAAGCCGGGAGGAGTCAGTTGCTTTTCTTCACCTCAGTGATCCTGTGTAAGTTGCCGGAGTTTCAGTGGGTCAGGTAGGAGGTGGGTGGAAGGCGCTCCCCAGGCTCCAGGCCCGCGGGAGGGGAGGAGTCCAAAGTACTACCTGCCTCACCCTCGCAGTCCTTTCCCACCCCTGCCTAGGATTTTTCCTTTCCTTCCCCTCCCCCAGACTTGGAGAGCTGCTGGCTCCCCTTCCCCACGCCATGAATTGCGACCCCTCCCTTTACACCCGGAGCTAACTTTCCTGCGAAAGCGGGCCACCCACTTTTAGCATACACCCCCAAAATAAGTGGGGCGGGCTGGTTCCAGTCCTTCAACTACTGGTGCGAGCGCTGGGACCCGTCCCACGTCTGTCGGCTCAGCCCCCCCTCCACACCACCTGCCCCCCGACATCCACGGACCACCCAGAGGATCCAATCAGAGCCTCTCACCCCTTGGCTTTCCTGGCTCCTGAGGGATTATCGGAGAAAACTGGTGGTGTGTGGGAGATGGTGTGGGGAAATCTTCCCTGGCTTTTGCAGAGTGGGTTCTCTTGCGTCTTTGAATCTCTGAGTTGCCCTGGTTTGCTCTGGGAAAAGTGGCCAGGTGCAGAGTCTGAAGTGGAACGAAACTGGAATTTCAGAATTCCTTTTCTGGAATGACTACCGAGGAGTCCTTAAGAAATGTTGTTGACCCAATGATTCTTCCCTAGGGGAGGATGGGACTTTCCTCAGAGCCAGAGCCCTGCCCTCGCCCTGGCTGGGCATGGGAGTTCTTGTTTCCTCTGTAAACTCCCTTTCGGGTAGAACAATGAGGCTCACTTGCAGGGGCTTGCCTGTGGCTCTAGGTGTGTTTGTGTGGGGCTGAGTGTGGAAGATTGGTTTGGGCTTTCGTCAACCTGTGTCAGCACTTGTATATTTATCTGTCTAACTTTCTGGTGGTTTCATGCTACGTCTGAGTCTGAAGTGTTTGTACGCACACTTAGGTGGATAGTTGTAGCAGAATGTGTTCTATGCGAGTCTGCTTCCCTCCCAGTTTTTATTTTGGGATTCAATCAATATTGGCATCTTATAAAGGCACTTCTTTTTGTGGTGTTTTTGAAATGTAGAAGAAGATTCCTTACACTGTATACCATTCCTTTGACCTTTAACACAAAAACAAACGCGGAGTGGATTAGACCCTAGCAGTTAAAATGCCCTGTATTGTCTAGATAAGGAAGTGGGTCTAAAGAAGGGAAATGACTTTTCCCGGCTGGCAAGAGGGTGGAACCTGGAAACCCGTTTTCTTTGCTTCTGTTTTTTTGATTATCTTTGCTTTCCTCTCTTTTCTCTTTTCTGGGTTTCTACACTTGTATCCAGCTTCTCAGCACAAGAACTATTTGCTTAAGAATCTATTGTTTTGTCATTTAACTTTTTTTCTTTTCCACCAGGTTATGCCTCCTTCCCACTTTTCCTTTTCATTCTATCCATTTACTTTTTTCCTCAGTTTCCCCCCACCCCTTTTTTTTGGTCGGGTGTGGGTCTTGAACTCTGGGCCTGGGTGCTGTCCCTGAGCATTTCAGCTCAAGGCTAGCATTCTACCACTTGAGCCACCGCGCCACTTCCAGCCTTTTCTGTTTATGTGGTGCTGAGGAATCGAACCCAGGGTCTCATGCATGTGGGGCAAGCACTCTATCACCGAGTCACCTTCCCAGCCCTCCCCTTCTTTTCCTACTTTGCCTATTTTACTTCTATCCAGTTCTTAGAAATATTAGTGACATCCTTGGTCATGTTCTGGTTTTGTGTGGTACTCTATCCTCAATTGAGGGGGATCCTGAGGTGATTTTTGCATTAGAGAGGACAGTGGGTCCGAGGAAGTAGCACGTTGGTGCTATAGAGGGCCTTGCAGCTTTTAAATTGTAAATATGAGGGTGGGGAGTGATTTGGTTAGTGCAAATGAGGATGGAAATGGGAGCCAGCCTACCCTATCTGGATTCTCCCTTCTTTGTCTTGTTTATGACTTTGGGCTAGTAGCTCGGTCTATTCATCTATAAAATAGAAGTAATAATACATGTCCTATCCTGGTCATAAGGATCAATGGGGGATAAGAGCTACATTCCATGTTCAGGAAGAGGTTATTTCTGGGTAGGTTTGGATTTTGTGAGGATCAAAGAATGCTGTCCTCAAAAGAGCAGGTCAGAGGAAGCGGGGAGGTTCCAAACGGTGAAAGAGTGGGAGCGCTTTTCTTTTCCTTCCTTATTTCCTTCCTTCCTTCCTTTCTTTCTTTCTATCTATCTTTCTTTTTTTCTTCTCTCTTTCTCCAGTCTTGGGGCTTGAACTCAGGGCCTGGGCACTGTGCTTGCCTTTCTGTGCTCAAGGCTAGTGCTCTCTTACTTGAGCCACAGTGCCACTCCTGGCCTTTTCTATTTATGTGGTACTAAGGAATGGAACCCAGGGCTTCATGCATGCTGGACAAGCACTCTACCACTAAGCCACATTCCTAGCGCAAGGGAGCTCTTTCTTGAGCTTTGAATCTGAAGCATGTACAGGTTGCACCTGCATTCTTCCTTCCCTCCAGGACTGCCCCTCACTGCCATTATTGAGGAAGGGCCCACACCAGACAGGGGGACATAGTGGACAGGGAAGGGGAGCATACTGGGAGAGTTGGGCTTAGGAAAATGAAACTAGTCAGCCATAATAAATCTGTATCTAAGACCCTGTACTGCCAGGCACTGGTGGCTCACACCTGTAATCCTAGCTCTTTATGAGGCTAAGATCTCAAGATTGAGGTTTGAGCCATCCCCAGCAGAAAAGGACATGAGACTCTTTAATTTTAATTAACCAGAAAAGAAAGTATGGCTCAAATGGTAGAGCACCATCCTTGAGTGGAAAAAGCCAAGTGAGAGCACAGTATGGAGAGAGGGAGAGGAAGAGGGAGTGGGAGGGGGAAGAGAGACAGCGGCCGGGGAGGGGGTGTGTGTGTTAGCTTTCAGTGTAACCATAAGGAAGGTGAAAGAAGTTTGGGCCCTGGCTTTTTCACTGCTCCCTTAACTTACCTGTGGGGTTTCTTAGTCTTGAGCAATGGTGTTTCCTGCTGTTTCTGACTCAAGCTCTTTGAAACATTTCTAACGTGGGACTTGTCACCAAAAGGACAGATTGGTGAGTCACCCCTACTTTCCTTCCCAATACTTCCATGAAGAAATTGTTCCCTTGGAGCTAGAAACAAGTGAGTGGCCCCTCTTGAAGGTGGAAATGAGTGCTGATGGGATTCCAGCAGGTTCCTCTTAGCTTTCACCTCATTCTTTAGCTCCTTTGTGACTGGAGGTTTGTCTAGGATCTCCAGCCTAGTTCTTGTTTAGGATAAGGCTGGTGTGATATTTCGTTATTTCGAGAGAGTTAGTAGCAAGAGTTTGAGATTCCGAATCATGTCAAAGGGGCAGAGCATCTCCCTCGCACTGTTCTTGTTATTCCTACTCCGCAGTTTGTGTATCTTTCCAACGTTTTGCTATACAGTTACTGATATATACATATATTTTTTCCTCCCCTCTCTTTTTATACAAAAAGAAACGTGTATATTAGATTGCATCTTATTTTCCTTAACATATCCTGGAGGTTTTTTATGCTGGTCTTTTAGGATTCATGGCTTTGGATTCACTCTTAACAGCCCTTAGTCACTTGGAGTTCAAAGGGGCAACTCCTAGCAAAAGCTGACACCTACCCCTTACCTGAAGATAGACTAAATACTACACTTTCTGTGATAGATTCAGAAATAATAGGGCTTGTTTTTCAATATTAACATGGGGGTGGGTCTCTAAACTCAAAACGGACTTCCTTCTCCCGAGGTTTAGGAAAGACCTAGGTGACCAGGGCAAAGATAAGTTGAGGAAGAACTTTTCTAGCACTGTGAGAGGTTGTGGAAAGCAGTCTGAGTGGCCAAGGTTGTGGTTTTCTAGGCACTGAAAACCAGACTTCATCTGCCTGGGAATTCCCAATAAGCACGGTTTCTGTCTAAAGTCCAGGTGGTGTCATTTGTTTTTCGATGTGGGGGTAGGGCAGGAGGAAGCAGGAAGTTTGATTCTAGCAGGAAGTTTGATTCTTGGTCCCTGGAGTGAGGCCTGGGCAGGAAGTCATGATCTCTTACCTTGCAATGGGAAAATGGGAGAAGGGGGCTGAGGGTGTAGAACTGGAAAGTCTGTTGAGGGAGCAGGATGTAGAGACTACGTGAAAGCCCTCCTGTCCTATTGTATAGCCTTTAATTTACAGGGCTCAGCCAGTTCCATTGCCTGAACTTCGAGTGTAGCCAACACAATGGTGGCTGTTTAAATATGGCCCAGCCTGTTGTTTAGCTCACAGGCACATTCTGTATCTGATCCATTCCATTGCCCAGAAAGTGTCTGCCAACTGTGACTCTTCCCTGGGCCTAACTGCCCTCTGGTCTTTACTAAGACCAGTGAACTCACTATGGGGCGTGGTTTAGTCCACAGATTATGTGGTGGGGAGGAATGGGTGAGCCTGGGCAAACAGGAGCCCTAGGTCCAGGGACTGATAGTATTGTAATGTCACATTCATTTGTTAATGTCTCAAACATTGGCACATTAGTGTTTAGTGTGTTCTAAGCATTGTGCTGGAGGGTTGCAGTGAAAGTCAGCTGTGGTCCAGAAGCTGGGAAGGCCGGAGTATTGGTAATAATAGCATGTAGGTAAACTGGACCTAGGAAGCTAGTGGGTTTGGTTGCTGGAGTGTGTGTGTGTGGGGGGGTTATAAATAGAAGGGGTCTTTCAAGTTTGTACCAGGTGGAAAACCTGGATACCATTCTTAGTGAAAACCAGGAATTTGCCTAGCTGGCTTCCCTTTTCCTTCCTTCTTTTTTTTTTTTTTAAAGAAGTTCAAACTCATAGTGCAGAAGCAACTTAAGGAAAATTCAAATTATTAACAGATATACAGAGAAAACAAAGGGTGGAAGGAAGTAGCTTTTCTATTGTGGGTTGGAACCAAGGCATAGCTATTGGTGGGTTGTGTTCACTGCTAGAGGACTCCAAACCTTTGTGAA